GAACTATACCCCCAAGAAAGACAGAGTGGAAGGCTGGAAGAAGTGTGGATTTCTTGTAAAGCCAAGTGACTAATCAGACTCTAGACTCCTCCTTCTGGACTCCCTTCTGAGGAAAAAAAAAGGGTGAACTTCTCTTCTGTAGCATCTAAAAGGCTGTTCTTTTAATTACATACAAATAACTGGACATAATCTTGATTATTGTACATCACCACCACCACCATTATTGTGCATTGGACAGTCCAGGCAGGTAATCTCTCTAAGAAATCCGGGGAGAACACTAAGATGTTGTAGGATTCCCACCATGAGGGTAGCCCCATTTGAGGACAATCATTAGGAAAATCAGTGGTAGGAAATGATGGTGAGGATGATGGGAAAGGGATATTTATCTGCTGCTAGTGGGGATTGAAAATGGTACAGTCGCTATAGAAACAAGTATGGAGGTTCCTCAAAAAAAAAACTATGGAAAGAACTAATGCAATCCAGTTATAGCAGTCCTGGGGATTTACCCAAATGATTCTAAGTCAGAATATCACAGATATATTCGCACATTCATGCTTGCTGACATGCATTCACAAGAACTACCTAGCTGTATCTACATATGAGTTGATAAAGAACATATAATACATACACACAGTGATATTTATTCAGCTATAAAGAAGAGTCAGTTATGACATTCACAAAAAAATGGATGGAATTGAGGATCACTGTTAAGTAAAATAAGCCAGACTTGAAATATACAAATATCGCGATTATTTCTCAATTGTAAAATCTAGAGCTCTCTCTCTCTCTCTCTCTCTCTCTCTCTCTCTCTCTCTCTCTCTCTCTGTGTGTGTGTGTGTGTAAAAGAGAGGAGAGAGAGAGAAACAGAGATGGGGACAGAGAGATACAGAGAATGCACCTGAGTACAGGTGCCCAAGGAAGTCAGAGGCATTAGAACCCCTGGAGTTGGAGTTACAAGCAGTTTTGAACCATTGAGCATGGGTTCTTGGAACTGAACTCTGGTCTTAGGCAAGAGCAGTACGTGCTCTTAAACTCTGAGCCATCCCTTCCAACCCCAAAATTCATATTTAAGCACACAAACAAAACTGCGCACAGTCGTATATACTTTTAACACTGAAACATGTGGATTCCCAGGTTCACCTATCATTAACTTATGACCTCTATGTACACACAAACATACACGCACACACACACACACACACACACACACACACACACAAATACCCATCACATGCATGTACACACACAACAGAAACAGAGCAATAATTAGCATGAAGGAATTCAGCACCATGGACAGATCAATGGTCTTCATTGAGGGCCCAGAGGAAGGAGTCCCACAAGGTAAGGGTGTGAGGTCGTGGCTGTACTTGATCTAGGTAAATTCCAGAAAGCCCTACTTTGATCTCCTGAGACCAGAACAAGCAGATCGACACGGGAAAGCCTCCTAGGGCTAGAGGATGCAGGGGATGGAGGAACGAGACTGTGACCGAATGCACACAATACTGAAGAATAAGGGAGCGTGAGGTGGGGACGACTCAGTGCTAGAAGAGTCTGTGGGCCGACTGTTCTGTGAGAGGACAGGGCAGCAATGGGCGTAAGTTAAGAAAGATGAGTTGGGGGACCCTTCTACCAAGCTCTATGTTAGTGGTCCCAGCTTCTGGTCCCACAACACTGACGCTGGCATTGTAGGGAGCATATAAAATGTACCTGGGAGTCTGTGCTTCTGATTCTCAGACTCTACGTGGGGTGCTTTCTGCCATGTATATCACATCAAGGTTCAGTGGCTTAAAACCACCCCTCAGGGGCGGCTCACCACTCCATGAGTTAACAGTTAGAGCTTGGATCTGTAGGAGAGTGCTGCTGCAGTTGGGTTCAACAATGTCTAGGATCTGGTTGGTCTCAAGGGAGTCAGCTGAGATGGCTCGCTCTGGCTCCATCCTTGTGTCTTTGCACATAGCAATTTCAGGGAAGCTAAAAAAGGCATCCTGGAAGTCTAAGCACTTACTAACCCCCTGCTTGCACCACAGTTGCCAGTGCACCATTATCCCAAAGAAGTGATGTGGTCGAGCCAAATTCAGTGTGAGAAGGCACAGCGTGAAAGTATAGATCAGAGCGGTAGGATGCATTCAGGAACACTGGGATGGCCTCCCACAGCCTTGCTGTGGTTAATTCCCCGCCATTCCTATTACCAACACCGCAAGAGCCTATTCCTGCTTCACAGACACCATGACTCTATGGCTCCCCAGGGCTGTGGTTCTTAGAATTCGATGTTTTGATGTCAAGACTCCGTGGTTCTGAAAGTGGAAGACTATTACAGCCGAGGAAGAGCACAAGAGCCCAAGAGAAGGCTGAGGAAGTCATGCAAAAGAAAACCCTGCCTAGACTTCAGCCCCCAACTCTGTGTCTGGATCAGGCAAATGGCACCAGCAACACGCTTCGAGTTAGAAAATGTGGATATAGTTCCTGGGTCATGACTCATTTGAGATGACCCCATGGACAGCTTCAAAAGCAATTGTGTGTATGTATGGGGAGGGTATCTGTACATGATGCTGACACTCCAAACACAGATTTTTTTTTATTTGTGACTTTTTTTTAAGTGCTGAAAGTGGACCCCAGGGCCTGATGTTTGCTAAGCAAGTGCTCTACCACTAAGCCACACTCCCAGCCACTCAGACATAGCTCTAACCCAGCCAGTGTTCTCTTGCAGCCAACAGTTATCGAGCCCTGTTTTCTGAGCGATGCAGAAGATCAACAAAGCCCACTCATTTCCAATACTGGGATCCTGGGCCCTGTGTGGCTCAGGATCAGGGGTTTGTTCCCAGTTCCTCCAGCTGCATCCACAGCTGCTGAGACCTTCCTTGAGTTTCAAGGAAGCCAAGATTCAAATGGACTCTTGCTCTTGGCCCTACTTTTATCTGCAAAACAGAGAAGAGAAGAGAACAGAGAAGGGATGGGGTAGGTAAAGAAGGGACTCAACTCTGCTGCTCCCTCTTCCTCACCCTCTCCTGCATCTGAGCATCTGACTCAGTGGTATTCTGGGCCAACCACTGATTGTGTTTCAGATTCAGAGACTGTGCCCCTTGGCTTCTCCTGGAAGAGTGATGGAGAAGCATGGTGTCTCTACAAGGGAAGGAGGCCTAGGGCAACACGACAAACCATGACAGCTACAGAGGAACCAGTGGCAACCCACTAAAAACCCAGGGAAGGACTGTGGCTTGCTCAGTCACACCCCGGCAGGAGACCAAAGCCAAAAGCTGTGGGCCCCCTGCCCTTTGCTAAATGTAAGTTTCTCATTCTAGATGGGATCTCAAGCTCAGCCCGAAGCACCTTTGTAAGCCATCAGACCCAGTGCAGGAGAGTTAGGGAGCTTCTTTGTCAGCAGCTCATAAGGGGAGAAGGGAGGGGAGGCAAGAGCACTTACACTTCCCCAGGACTCAGACCACTCGTTTATATTAGCCTTTCCCCAGAGGCAGGCCACAGAGTGGAGGAGGGTATTAAATATCAGAGAGTTATTTAAAAGCCAATTGCCCGCCCCTCCCAAACAGAGTATGGTCTCTGCTGACTCAACGGAGAAAATGAATCTCGGGCCTATGGATTTTCCTGTGTCTCAAGGCAGTGCGGGAGGAGGGAGGCTGTGATGAGTGACAGAAGATGGAGGCCCACAGTGAAGCTCCCCCTTCCCAGCCAGGGCAGCACAGAGATGCAAGGGGAGAGGAACTGGGTCTCCCACAATTATCATGCCATACTGCTGGGGTGCACCTCCATCTGCCTTAGAGAAAAGTGGACAGAGAAACACCCGAAAGGGATCCCCCAACACACACACACACACACACACACCTTACAGTTGCTCTCACCATATGACTAAGCAAGCTAAGGTCTTAACTGCCATGCAGCCAAGTTCAAGGCCACATGTGAAGGTGGAGGCACAGATATGAATGAGTTATATACTATTTAAATGGCTAAATATCTAAAGAGTCTAGGACTAAGAAGCCCTTTGTCAATATGCACTTTTTTTTCTTCTGTTTCAGATAGGGAAGCTGAGGTTTGGAAACAGAGGGGCTTTCCCAAGAGTTTGAGTGGTCTTCGAGTATCTCTAAGGGCAATGAGGAACTGGTGCCTGCTGAGAAAAGGGGTGGATGCCGTTGGGTGATCCCAGGGAAGTCACCAACCTCCCTGTGCTCCAGGTGCACAGGAGCATAGAAGAAGCAGGGTCTTTCCAAGGAGAAAAAAAAAAAAGGCCAGAGAGAAGAGACCCAAGCACAGGAGGGACACCAGCTTGCAAGGCTCGGAGAGGAATCCTGAAATCTAGTGGGATAAGAAACTCAAGAACAGAGGCCCAAGCTAAGCATGCTGGCAATCCCCTTAAATCCCAGCACTTGAGAGGCAGAGACAAGCAGATCTTGACAGCCAATCTGGTCTATGTAGTGAGTCCAGGTCAGCCATAGCTACCTGTCTCAAAACACTAACAAATGAGCAAAACCCCGAGTCCTGGTCCAGGTGCACAGCTGCCAGTTTCTCTGCTTGGATACAATGCAGTGTTCTTAGCTCAAGGAGAGTTGGAGATGGGTCAGCGCACCACCCAGAGGCTCCCAGTCACACTGCTGAGAGAGGAAGCCTGGGGTGCAGGGGACTGGTATGGCAAAGGAACTATGGGAACCTGAGCTCCTGACCTGGCGTGAGTGGGAGAGAAGCGCTTAACCTTCCAGGTGAGAGTCTCCTGGTACAGTTATAGAGGAGGACCCTCACCTGGCTGGTCTCAAGCCAGAGACTTTCCGTGAAGGTTCTCTCCCTCGTTCCTTCTCTGTGCTGAGCCCTGAGCTCTGCCCTGACAACACAGGAATCAGTCTGATCTGGAGTCCCCACTACCGACAGATTAAAAGCCCAAGAATGCTCTAACAACACTCTGATCACTAAATGACAATTCCAGAAGGAGACGGCAAGCACAGCCAGGAGTTGCAAAGGCGATACCGGTCAAGAAACAGACACTTGCATTGACTGAATCAGGGCACAAACAGCCTCAGCCTCAAGTGGACATGCATTTATTAAAACACCTACTGTACACGACTCCCGGAGAGAGGGCTCTTCTTCCAGAGAACATGGGTTCCCTTGCTCAATGGCTGTAGGTTCTTTGTAGGCTTCTCTTCCCCAAATGAGGGGTTCAGCACCAATTAATGAAGGCTGCCTGCTGCCCTGAAGCCCCTTTGCCTTGCAGGGGGAGCAGTGAGCAGCAACCAGAAGTCAGCTGCCATGAAAACCTGAGAGGGAGCACCGGCCTTGGCAGTGAGCTTCAATTCCTTAAGGGCTGAAGGCAGAAGGTCTCCATGCAGTACAGCCAAGGAGGCAGATGATTCTGGTCCCTCATTTTTGGAGCACCTGTGCCATGGGAGAAGACGGACCTGAGATCTCCAACAACCAAGAGCACAGCCCAGGGCTCCATCTGCATGTTTGCCCTTGCATGTGAGTGTCTGCAAGCTGCCCCCTCTGAGGCTGCAGTTGAAACCTGCTCTGGCCCAGCAAACACGCATTCAAGCACTTAGGTGTACTTCTGAGTCGATGGACGTAAGCCATGTTGCCCTTCAAGCTACATTCCTATGTAGTCAGGCACCGATGAGCCTGTGCAAGACCAATCTATTTGAACTTGCTCTGTGCAAGTTGTGCAAGCTTACACGTGCCCATGTGTGGCCTCACATCCACGTAAGAATAGATTTGTGAGGCCACACATGGGCATGGGTGGGTCTGTGTGCGTAAAACCTGCCTTTCTGTGTAGAGACACACATGGATGTATAAACTCATGTGACCAGGTACGCAGGCATGTCTAACTCTAAACGTGAAAATTACTACTGTCATCATCCAGTAACTGGGAGAGCCATCACAGAGACACATAGAGAGAGGACTGGGTCAACCTCCAGCATCATCAGCCTGGCCCTTGTTGTTGGTATTTGCTTGAGACCCAGACCACCGCAGGCTGTACCTCTTAAGTGGTTTCAATCTGCTGGTCGATCTGTTAAATACAACTTCAGGGAAAAAGTCAACCAAATACCCCCAGTTCAGGAGAAAAAGACTGACTGATTCTTTTGGAGAGGAGGAGAGGCTCCATCCCAACCAGCTCTGCCAAGCAAGATACTCGAATGGCCCGGAGATCAAATGTCACCTTCTCCAACCTGAATAATTCATGCCGAGACCAGGAACGCTCCGGAGTCTGTCTCTTTAAATCAGGTCTTGAGCTTCCCAGTTCTGGAGAGAGAGAGAGAGAGAGAGAGAGAGAGAGAGAGAGAGAGAGAGAGAGAGAGAAACAAAAGTAAATAAGTAAAAAAAAAAATCCAGAACAAAACAAGTCTATCAGCAGCTCAGCCCCCACCTCCGTCCTGGATGCTACCACACCCCCACCCCACCCTACAAAACCAGTTCCTGATTTTCCTACTTCTGGAGCCCTCTCCCCCAACCTGCACCCCCACTCAGTACTGACTGGTGGGGGAGTTTGGAGGGACAAAGCTGAACACCGTATCCTAAGGGTGCTCAGGTGCTGGAGCAAGGTGGGAAAGCAAAGAGCTGAGTCTCTCCACCTACCAGCCCCTGAGTCTGGTAGGGGTCCAGCCCGAAGGAACCAGTGGGAGAGGTCCTGGCAGAGGCAGCACAGCCTGAGTTAGGGGCATGGGAAGTGTGGGGACAGGGGGTACTGTAGACTCCCCTCCGGCATGGGACAGAGTCGACAAAAGACTGATTGACGCACAGGACCTGCAGAGGTGAGGAAACGGCCGGCCGCGCCTAGCGGAACTGGGATCGCAGAAGAGGCAGGCAAAGCTAGGTATTTTCCAGGCTCTCGCCCTTTGCGCAGCTCCTTTCCTCGACTACAAGAAGAGTAACTTTCTCAGCCCACCCTCAGCCCCACCTCCTCTTCTAGAGGTAGCAGTTCTAAATACCTCTCCCACCTTCAGTGGGCGCACAGACCCACCTGCCAGGTCAGCCCTCCGGGCCCCGCCCATACGTGCCAGGCGGGAGGAGGGAAAGAACCTGCCTAAACGTAGGGGGTGGGGAAAGAAGCAAGTCAGAGCTCGGGGAGCCAAACTTCTTAGCAGCTCGGGAACTAGAGAGCACAGCGGCCCTAAGCCTTGCTGCTCCGGAGCCTCCCACCCCGCCTCCCTCGGCGAGGAGGTGCAGAGACTCCGCCGGGGGTGGAGGAGGCGGCCCGGAGGCGGGGAGGGGGAGGCAAACCCTGCCCACTCGGCTCGGAGCCCAGAACAGCCGCGGAAGTCGGAGGCCGGAGCGCAGGGCGACGAGGGCACCGGGGCGGGGGTCTCCTGCCTGACCCCTATCGCCCCCCAGTCAGCAAAGTGGAGGCTTCTTGGACTTTACAAGCAGAAGAAACAGATCGGAACAGCCAGCCGCTCCGGGTCAAGGTCTAGCCTACCCCCACCCTCCCGTGCCACCCCCACCCCATCATCACCAAGCGCTTCCAACTCACTGGTGAGCGCGGCTGGCTGGGGGCTGGATGCGGGGACGGTCGCGATGGCCCCGTGCGCGGGACAGCGGGGGCTCTGGAGCCCGCTGCCGGGGCTGCTGCTCGTGGCAGCGGCGCTGAGCCGGCCCGCCGCGCCCTGTCCCTTCCAGTGCTACTGCTTCGGCAGCCCCCGGCTGCTGTTGCGCTGCGCGTCGGGCGCGGAGCTCCGGCAGCCGCCTCGGGACGTGCCCCCCGACGCGCGCAACCTCACCATCGTGGGCGCCAACCTGACTGTGCTGCGCGCGGCCGCCTTCGCGGGAGGGGACGAGGAGGCGACGGAGGGCGTGCGCCTGCCTCTCCTCACTGCGCTGCGCCTCACACACAACAACATCGAGGTAGTGGAGGACGGCGCCTTCGACGGGCTACCCAGTCTGGCGGCGCTCGACCTGAGCCACAACCCACTTCGCGCCCTGGGAGCCCGTGCCTTCCGCGGGCTGCCGGCGCTGCACTCGCTGCAGCTCAATCACGCGCTGGCGCGGGGCGGCCCCGGGATGCTGGATGCCCTGGACGCCGCGCTCACCCCGCTGGCAGAGCTGCGCCTGCTGGGTTTGGCGGGCAATGCGCTGAGTCGCCTGCCGCCCGCCGCGCTGCGCCTGCCTCGCCTGGAGCAGCTGGACGCGCGCATCAACGCACTGACCGGCCTGGGCCCCGACGAGCTGCGCGCGCTCGAGCGCGATGGCGACTTACCCGGGCCGCGCCTGCTGCTGGCGGACAACCCGCTGACCTGCGGGTGCACCTCGCGCCCCCTGCTGGCCTGGCTCCACAATGCCACCGAGCGCGTGCCCGACGCGCGCCGCCTGCGCTGCGCCTCCCCGCGCGCGCTGCTAGATCGGCCGCTGATGGACCTGGACGAGGCGCGGATGGGCTGCGCCGACGGCGATGCTCACGAGCGCGGGGAAGAGGTGGATGTCGCCGGCCCGGAGCTGGAAGCCTCCTACGTCTTCTTCGGCCTGGTGCTGGCACTCATCGGCCTCATCTTCCTCATGGTGCTCTACCTAAACCGCCGTGGCATCCAGCGCTGGATGCGCAACTTGCGCGAGGCTTGCAGGGACCAGATGGAAGGCTACCACTATCGCTATGAGCAGGATGCAGACCCGCGCCGCGCGCCCACTCCGGCTGCCCCCTCCGGTTCCCGGGCCACTTCCCCGGGCTCTGGTCTTTGAGCCTCACCTCCCTAATGGGAGGCTGTCCCTGTCAGCTGATAACTTTACTGGGACCACCCAGCCTTCCCCTGCCTGGCCTGAGCCCTGGAGATGACACACCAATGAGTTTGAATCTCTGAGACCTTTGGATCCATCGTAGCATCTCTCCCAACCCAAAACTCCAAGGTGTACTCGTTTTTTTTTTTTCCCCCTGGCCTAAGAGCTTCCAGATCAAAAACCCAGAGACGCCCCCATCTGTTTCCAGAAACAAACCCTTCCTGTCTGTCCTTCCTGGACCATTGAAATCCCTTCACCCAAAGGTCTATCCAAAGACCACGCTCTTCCATTTTGAAATCTCTAGCGCTTTCTCCACCACACACGCTTTGAGCCAGACACCTTGGCTAGACTGCACTGACCCCTGTCCCCAGTTAGGAGCCCTCAGTCCTTTTCTCAGAGCTCAGGGGGTCTACATCCCTTCTGGTCTTATCGGAAGGTTTTTGTGGCGTTTGAGCCGTTTGTCCCACCCCAGAATTCTGAGCCCTCCATCTCGTAATCCACATCCAGAGGCTCTGTGGCTTAAGTGGCCTCCTCTAGTCTGGCGTGCTTCATGTACTGATTCTAGCTCAAGTTCCTCCATTCCTTGGCCCTACCTGGGTCTCAGCTCCAGCCCTGTCCCTCTCGAGCCAGGGACATGCCTTGGTGTAGAATCCATCCCTAACCTTTCCAACCGGGAATCGGATGTCCCAACGCTCAGTGTTTGTCCTCAGTCTCAAGCTCAGCTCTTCACCTCGGTCACGTTTGTGCCCTGGCCCAAGTCTTAGGCTTACCCATCACCGGCACTTTTACCTGCCTCTGCCATTCTCTGATCCGGGTCCAGAGAGGAATCTCCCCCATCGTGGGGTGCTACCCACTGCCCTCCTAGAAGGAGTTCTCCCATCCTATGGGACAAGGGCAAGCACCCTATGGCACATAGGCAAACCCTCGTGAGGAAGAGAGCATGTGAGGTGTGCAGGGCCTCCGAACCAGGGTCACTGGTCCATCTGGGAAAGAGAGGCTGGGAGCTGCTATCTGTCGAGTTCGTCTGCACTCTCTCACCCACGCGGTCCTCCCCTGGGAACTCCTCACTACCACCTCTCTCTCATGCCTTCTGGAGGAGGATGGAGTCTGACTTGTTGTCTCAGTCACAAGCCTTCCTGGGTCAAGGTCACGGCCTCAGCGCCCTGCCTTCTGCACGATCCCAAAGCACAATGGTGAGTGAGGAGGGGCCGCCTTCCCGCTGCCGCTCACCCTAAGTCAGGCAGAATGGCAGGCCCGTGCTGCCTCTGCACAGGAAGTCTTCCTCCTCTGTGTATTGGCTTGAGGCCCGCCTTCCCGCCCTCAACTGAGAAATCTGGACCTCCCTTGGGCTGTTTTCTATAAAGTCTGCAATAATCTCCGATACTCTCTGCTCTTGTAAGTGGTACTGTGTCTTTCCTGCTGACCTTGGGGCCTTGGTGGCAGCGAGAGGTGGCAAGGGGGCATTTGAGGCCGTGTCCCTTGTCTGTTCTCTGGAGTTGTGTGTGGGGGGGAGGGGGTAGAAATGGACTGTGGGTTCACAGAGCAAGACTGAGACTAGATACGTGGAGGGACTTTCCACCACTCTCCACACTCTCCTGCTTTTTGATGGTCTGAAATGGGCTTATCCACAACCAGCAATGAATTCTACACTTTTTCACACTCCCTGTCCTTTGGGGTGGGGGCCTGGAAGGAAATATGTTTAGATTGACTAATCTTGCCTGGGATGAGCCTCTTAGGAAAGAGGCCAGCTACAGAGGAGAGGCAGTTTACTGAGGCAAATTTGTCTGAGGGGCCATTGGCTGCTCCAGGCTCATCTGCCTGCTAACCTTTTTGCCTAGGGAGCACTGGGTGTACAAAAGGAGGAGAAACAGCAGCCTAGAGGGGGTGAGGCAGAGTGACCCCCGCTTTATAAAGGCAGTGGGAAGCAGGTGGGCCACAGGCTGGAAGAAGTGGCTCATCTCTTATTTCGGGATTCCCAGAGTTGTTTACTTAGGTTCTCAAAGCCCTGGAATCATGGGCAGAAGTCTAAAATTCCAGCATGTATTTTAAAAAGTTCAGAGCCACGTGTTTCTAGAATGTGTGGCTTCTAAACATTGAAAAGGTCATCCTGGTGCCCTGGGAAGCCTCTGTTGTCTTGGCGGTACACAGTGCACTTCCTCCTCGTCTTCTCCTGGTGGAAGCTGTATCCATCCCCCCAGCCGTTTTCCATGGACGTCTGTCAGGGACCTTCAGTGTGTGCTCTGGGCGTCCTCTAGAAAAGAATAGTTATGTTCTTATCCAGGTTAGGGAACCACCTCTCAACAGATCACCTCGGTGCTAAAAGTGTACCGTAACTGCAGTAAATCCTAGCAGATAAACGGTGCTGTTGGCTGTGGGCGCATTATCGGCAAACCAATTGAACCTTTTACATGGTGCCACTTTGGATACTCTGCTAAGAACTTAGTTTTCCTGAGCCATGGAATAGCAACAGATATTTTAAAAGTCAATTGAAGGCCTGTTGTATATGATGCAAGGCTTTGACTTCGTGTTGTTGATGGACTCCATTAGAAGCCAGCTCCTGGTCATGCCAGCCCATGTCCCCAGCCTTTGTCCTCTGCGGGTCTAGCCTCACACTTAGCCTATGCTGGACACAGCTCTGCCAGTCCTAAGGAGCCTAAGGACTGGGAGCCCCAGACCCAGCCTAAAGGGTCTTTGTAGATGAAGTAGCGTTTGAGCTGAGTTGGGGTTTGTACTGTTTTGTTTTGTGATGCCAAGAAGGTCAAATCCAGATCCTTGCACAGGCTAGGCAATCACTGTACCACTGAGCTACACCCACAAGCCCTTGGTTTGTGTTTCCTTTGGTTGGTTTTGATACAGGATATTGCTACGTGGCCTAAACTGGCCTTGGACTTACGACCCTCAATTCTCAGCCTCCTTGGTTCTGTGCCTCCAGGAATGAGCCTGACTCCCCATACCATCCACTCAGTCCAAAGCCTCTCCCAGGAGCTGCTACAAATGAGGGGTGGGGAGAGGCCCAGAGGATGGGGCAGCAGGGACAGAGTGGCAGAGGCAAGGTTATCTCTGGATGTCTCCTTAGAGAGCAGGTAGGGCAGTGAGCAGGCGAGGGCAGGTAAGTGTAGGTGGAACTGTCAAGACTGTGGTAGACATGAACCCTCTGAGCACAGAGAGACGGGCAGACTTCCCAGGTTTCTGTGACCCCATAAGAGGTTCGAAATTGCCAAACTTCTCTGGGAACCTCTGGTGTTGGTGACCCTGAGACCATTCTCGCCCCTCAGATCTAGAGTGAGAGCCGATGAGGGCCTGGCTTGAGCCTGAGGACCGAGTTCAAATCTGACTAAGCACCCACCTTCCCAGGTCATCTGAACACTTGCAAGTCCTGTGTGCTGGGGAATGCTGCCGAGTAGGTCTCCACCTTTCTAGCGCAGGCTGGCGCTGTCCCCTAGAGTTCCCTGTCTCTCTGCAGCTCTGTCTTTCTTCCATTCAGGCTGTGACCTCTGCAGACACTGCCTCCGACTGAAGGCCTTCTCCATCTTCATTAAGTCGGCCTGGCAGATGCTCGGCCCTAATTTACTGGCATGGCCTTTCCTGGGCTGAGAGAAGCGAGGAGGGCAGTTAATAACTCTGCTCCACAACCTCACCCCACCTCGTGCGCCCTCTCACTTCCCTCAGCATCCTGCCTGCGGGGGCAGCTTTTCCGGGGGTTGAAGATAGAAGGTGCTCAACGCAGGTTTCCTTGAATGG